ATCTATCTATCTATCTCAGTCTCTTCATGTCTATCTGCAGATGATTCATCGAGAGAGGAATTCAAATTACTAAAGTTAGGAGAATATTTTGTCTTTCTACTTCTAATTAATTTTTAAAATTAATAAAGGTTATTCATTTTTATCAGCACACGTCACCGATACACACACACACACACACACACACACATATATATATATATATATATATATATATAAACAGATATATAAAGAGAGAGTGTGTGTGTGTGTGTGTGTGTGTGTGTAAGAGAGAGTGTCTTGGGTGGGTTCCTAAGCAAATTACGCATTGCTTATCCTATGAAATATTCCATCCAAACTTAACAATATCTTTATTAACTTTGGTGCATATTATTTATTTCAATTTTATCCTATTATCCTACGGTCTTTGAGGAATTAATTTTTCCAATTATATTGAACTCTTGAAATTTGAACTAGACATTCTTATTTGAATATCTTTACCACTGACGCACAAAATTAAAGTTGCAGTAAACACTTTCCATAATGAAATTATATGACACCATCAGACAAAATATAGTTCAAATTTGCGGAAAGACTAGAGTCAGGCAGTACGCGTAGCGTCTAACAATCACAATCAGTTACATTAAATTCAAATATAAAGAGAACGCCCATGTGTAAGCTTCCGTCTTGATAAAGTCGGATTGACGAAATATATTTTCCAGTTGTCTTTGTTTTCCAAATTGTCTTATCTAGAATTTTCTAAGAAATTTAACAATATATATATATATATATATATATATATATATATTTAGTTGGATAGATGTGAGTTGGTGACCCTGGGTTTCACGCTTTAGCGATCGTCAGACAAACGTCGTGAAACCCAGGGTCACAAACTCACATCTATCCAACCAAATATGTTAGCTCTATCTCTGATATTGAGCGCTTTTAATTAGTACCGCGCATATAATATATAAATAATTATACATACTTATATTTATTTATATTTATATACACTTTTCACACACACACACACACACACACACACACACACACACATATATATATATATATATATATATATATATATATATATATATATATATATATAAAAATTTATTTGAAAAATATAACATAAAAATGTTACATAATCACTACAAAAATAGCCATTTTGTTTCAACGCTATTGGTGTCTTATCAAGTGATGGTGCTGCAGGATTCAAAAAACATCAATTGATAAGACACCAGTAGTGTTGAAACAAAATGGCTATTTTTGTAGTGATTTTATAACATTTTTAAGTTATAATTTTCGAATAAATGATTATATTTGTTCTACTCTTTTAAGAATAGTATTTATTGTTTATTGGAATTTATTCCGTATACACCAATCCTATATCTCCGACTGACGCCAATTCAGACGGGTTTCGATCCAGGCTGGACGCAACTGGACGTCTAGCCACACTGATCAGTTGTGATACAGCGAAACATTCTGTCTGTGGATGACAATATATATGCTCCTGAAAAATTTGTTTTGCTGAGCTCTCTGGGGAGGAAGTGTGGCTTTGTAAACTGTGACTATGGCGGCTAATAATGCAAGACTTTTCGGTAAATCGAATCGAGTTCTCTCAGTCACTGTATGTTTATTTAAAAATAAATACGCTTAAATTCACATTCATTCTTGTCGTGCGCCAACGGCTTGGGGCAGAATCTCCGACTGACGCCAACTCAGACAGGTTTCGATCCAGGCTGGAGGCAACCGGACACCTAATCACACTGATGAGCTGTGAAACAGCGAAACAGTCTGTCGGTGGATGACTATATATATATATATATATATATATATATATATATATATATATATATTATTGTTTAAACGCTTTCAACGGATACTCGCATTTGAGTAGATACACCGTTTATTTATTAAAAAATATATTTATATTTTTTTCGTCTATCAGCCTGAATATTCGAGAAATATTATTAGAGAGAAACAAATTCCGTCAAATTCGAAACTGCGTCATCCCTAGAAAAAAGTGTTATTAGACCTGACGTGATTCAGACGATGTTGGTCGATGATCAACTCAAGTTGAATAGTGCCTTTAAACACAGTTTTTTTTTTCACTTTCGAAATAGGCATATCTGCTCAGTTTCAAATCCTAATGTAAACAAATCAATTTCTAAAGAAAGAGATGGATTTTTGAATCCGAGAGATTTAATATTTAAACCTTATTTTTAGTAAATACTAGCATTTCACCAGACGATCCGTTTCTTTATTAAACAGTATATTTATTTATTTCCGTAATCCTGAATAATTTCTCTAAGATTTTATTAGCTGTTTAATGCGATGTACTCTGTAGCGTCAATAATATACAGAATTTTATTATTTTATATTACTTTCTTTGTTAATATGTCAAATATGTTCACCAAACACAAATTTTACTGGGATATATTTGTGGCAGCCTCTTGAAGGTACGGTAAGGAATTGTTAGGAGTTTTTTTTTTATTCTGTTTATTTCTAGGTGATATTTTTATATATCATTTCCATATACAAACTTACGTTAAATAATCTTTATTCGAAAAGTGTTCAGTTCAACGGGTGTCGTCTGTGTGGTAGACAACATTTTGTTGGCTATATCCGGATGTTTTTTGACAGCGCTGAATTCAAATCAGCAAAATGTGACGTCATGTGTAACGGTTAAAGGAGTTATACCTTACCGGAAAATATTTTCATAGCAACTGTTCTGATGATCTTTCATCATTGATACATCGACTGTGTGAATTTAAGCGTGCTACTAGATTGGCAACTAGGTCTCACTGTTTTAGTATTGAACTATTTAGATGCAACCGACACTTCTTATTGGAATTATCGTCTTCCTTGGGGTGGAACGATATACTTTCTTTGTTAATATGCTAAATCTGTTCACCAAACAAAAATTTTAGTGGGATATATTTGTGGTAGCATGTTGGAGTTACGGTAAATAATTGTTACGAGTTTTTTTTAACTTGTTTACAACTCGGTGGATTTTCATTTTATACCCGCTATATAAGTCGACCCATAATTTTGGAAATATTATTTCAGACTTGAAAACTCGACTTGTACGCAACAATTTATAGTATACACTGTCATCTTGTAGGTTTGCTCAAAAATATCAATGCAGTTCGGATACGCAAACAACGGTTTAAAGATAGATGCCGAGGATATGGCAAATTCTACGCCTTGCCGTCTCCAGTCTCACACTCTCTCAGCAAAGTATTTTCCCGGCAGATATTAAAAGGCGAAATATCGTAGCATAAAAGAAACATAATATTCCATTGGCTACGTCAGCAGCCATTAAATTTCACTTGGCCAAATCGATGTTAAGATCTCCAGGAAGTTCAACGAATTTTCTACGGATGATTCTCGTCTTTAAAATATCCTTATTTAATTATCATCACATCTAATTAACAGAATAAATGAACGCTGCCTGTTCAGATCACTTAATGTCAGGTAAACATTAAAATTTTCGTTTTATAATGATTAAAGCCTAAAGCCTTCTCGATGTTCAGCACTTTCCCGGCAAGACAAAAAAAAAAAGAAAACAACCACGCTAATCATAAAATGTTTTTGCTTTAATAGTAAAGAAAAAAAAAAAGTTGTAAAACTTGGAATGTGAAATTTCACATTATTTCCTGCTGTAAGATTGGCTTCATAAAACACATTGCCACATGGGAAAAAGAAAATCATTTAATAGGCAGATCGTGTAGCGTCAATTTTCTTCGAGTAGAAAATCAAACAAAAATATCAGTTTGATTTTATCGATGTTTTAACACGTAATTCTGTCGATATTAATAAAGGTTTGATTGATTCGCTTTTTACGGTTTATCAACCCTTTGCAGGTTATTTAAAGCCAGAAAATATGTTTATATTCCAGAGAATGCAAATAATTTTAAAAGATATGGCTGTATAGCTAATCAGTATTTGATTGATTAGTCTTTTGCGGCTTATCAACTTTTTGCAGTTTATTTAAAGCAAGAAATTATTTTTCCATTTAATTTTTTTTTTTGAGACAATTATGATTTAGTGATGCAATTCTTAATAATTAATCTTTAGCTGATGGGGAGATGTTTATTTATACCTACTCAAAATTTGATAAACAAACAACAAATTATAATGTGTATATAATGTGGGGGATCAATTCTATATTACAGCCAATATATTAACTGATCCCTCACTTTGTGGCCAAAATACTCTCTTCACATTTATACAGTGTTCCCTTAGGACGGATTATATATAAGGGTGTTTCATTAAGACGGATCAAAGTCAGCAGTAAATAAATCAGCGTTATTGGTGAAAATTTATTTATTTCTCTATTGGATCATTTCATTTTAGTTATGGCAATTATGCGTGAAAAATAATATCGCTCAAATGTCCGCCAAATATGGAAGAAAAAGAAAAAATCATTAGACGCTTAAACTTAATTCACATTAAAATCGGTCCATGTAATTGGAACAACCTTGGGTATTTCATTAAGACGGATCAATGTCAGCAGTAAATAAATCAGTGTTATTGCTGAAAATTTATTTATTTCTCTATCTCTGTTATTTAAGTCATGGCAATTATGTGTGAAAAATAATATCGTCCAAATATCTGCCAAATCTGGAAGAAAAAAAATCATTAGACGCTTAAACTTAATTCCTATTAAAATTAGTCCAAGTTATTGGAACACCATTCATATTCAAGAGTATGTAAATAAATTTAAAATACATGTCTCTGTTGCTAATAAGTACTTGATTGATTGATTCGTTTTCTACGGATTATCAACCTTTTGCAGGTTATTTAAAGCCAGGCAATATTTATTTTTAGATTATAAAAACTTTCTTTTTAGATATAATGGTTTTATGATACAAGTCTTACTAATAAATTCATAGATGGGGGCGATTCATACCTTAGGCAAGTGTATTTGATTGTAAGTGAACATAGCGAACCTAATTGGAATTGGAACCGATTAACATTTCCGAATCATTATCCATTACACCACCCGCACATCAAGGCTAACAGCACCTGGTATTCCCAAGCGGTCACCCAACTAGGTACCGACTAGGCTCAACGTTGCTTAACTTAGGTGATCATATGGGAACCGGTGTTTTCAATGAGATGTGATCGTATCGGCCTTCTAAATAGAAGACAACTTGCTTGACTAGACGTTCGAAATTCTAACCTGTTGAGGGGTCCTCCCCTTTTTTACACAAATGGACTCACCCAGTATATACATATACTACAGCTACGTGAAGACCCGAGAGAGAGAGCAAGACCGAGGAGTCGAGTCCAGAGTGACCGAGTAAAAAGGTGTAGGTAACCGGAAGAGTGAGGGGTAAGGTAACAGCGTTGAAGGAGTCACAGTGAGCGAGCACGTAGACTCAGTAAGAAGTCATACAGCGATACTTCAATACCAAAGACTGTATATATATTTTGCTACTAACGCGTATTCCTGGAACTACTAACCTGCTTTACCAGTTTTTATTATTACGTTAATACATTATTTTCATATATTCATTCTTGGCGGTTGTTATTTATTGGTACCGGATTTCAACCGGGAATCCATAACATAACCTTTAGCAGAATTCGAAACATCAACCTCCGACTGCGAAATGGAAAATCCCTATCTACTTTAACCACGAGACACGTTTCATTTGGGATCGAAATAGAGAAAATCCTAAGAGCTCCTCAATATAGTTGGTTACTGAAGGTGGTTGTTGTGTGAGTGGTAAGATAAAGTGGTAAGAAGTGTAGGTTATAAGGATATGTGGGATAGACAAAGGTTAACTCTTGGCTTTAATAGGCTAACATTGTAATGGTCGGGAAAGCATTCCCTCGGGAGTCTGTTCCACAAAGTAACTTCCTTCTTACTAACGCAATACGAAGGATGTTTCGTCCCAATGTTAGTATGCGCGTATTATTGGTATTTTGTTAAATAAAAATGTATTGCTGGTATGAATGGATTTTTATACCCTGAAAGTATTTTGTTTTTGTTTGAGGGGGGATCATTATTTGCCCATAGCTGGGACCCTAGCGGGTGCTACCACTCAACGTTAGGGTGAAGCTGAGAACAACAGCAATTAAATGATGATTTCACGCTCCAAAAAAAACTCAAATTTTCTGATCAGAGGTCTTGCTACCGGATGTAGTTTATCGTCATACCAGGGACTAGTAAGATTAGGAGGTAAGAAGTGCAGTTTATGAGGATAGTGGGAAAGATAACGATTAATCTTAGACTTGAAGATGTTAAATTAAGAAATCTTAGACTTGAAGGTGTTAAATTAAGGAATCATAATTTATTTTCTACCCATTCTGAAGAATTTCCATCTCAAATCACGGACATTTAAAAGTGGAGAATATAAAAAATGTTAAACGATTTTTTTGAAAAGTCACTCATTTTATTTCTTTTTTAGTCTCGAGAAACGTCGACTTTAGAAAAATAATATAAGATTTAATTATTTTAAACACAAACAAATGCATACACACACAACACATTTTTTGTTATCCATCTGATGAAGTGCATGAAGGCGAAATGCAGTGTTTTTATGAACGTTTTTCTAAATGTCAATAACTTATAACACTTTTGGGATTACATACACAAATTTATTACACACACACTTTGTCCATTTCATAATCTGTGACGTCATTTGTTTACATTTGGATAGGCATCGAGCAGATATGAATGTACGTGTAAAAAATCATGGAAAATTGTAGCTTAAAAACAGCAAAATTGACCTTGCTAACTGAAACGCTCCTCTGTGGCTAAATCGGTAAAAGCACGTCAGGCTATAAGACGGTTCCGTATAGGATACAGGTTCAATTCCTGTCGGAGGGCGAATATTTTCTACGACAATTTCTCGGACATTCAGGCCATTAAATGTTGCTAATACTGTTTATTGAAAACAAAGCATTTACTTAAATATTTGTATAAACATAAAAATGTCTTAACATATATATATATATATATATATATATATATATATATATATATATACTGGGATCGTCCCCTCCAGACCGATAACACCTTTGGAAAGTGCCTGAAAACCACACCATGGTTTGACCCAAGTCTTGTGAGTGAAATTGAGTAGACGGAACCCTCGGGGCCGTCGATAGCTGTGCTAGCACGAAGTCACAAGTCATCGTGACCGAGGGTTTCAGTGTGCTGGCTTTGTTCAAATTGTTGATCACGGTAGATAACACGCTATCTCTCATAAACTTTAACTAAGGTTTGCTCAGTATAGTTGCAGTATAAACCAGAGGTGGACTCTGTGGGAACTGAACAAAAAGAAATGTGCCTGAACGAGCGGCTGAATTAGGGATTGGCTATCTGCCCTAGTAGATGTGTATCCTACAATACGAATGACCAGCTATTACATATATACACTGCGTGCCAAATTATTATCGAGATAACATTTTTTTTTAATATTTCAAAAACCATCAAATCAATTCACACAAAATTTTCACACAATGTTGGCAACACTGACCTGCGCAATCACCGAAATTTCCTAACTGATCTGCGCAATGGAAACAAACTGGCGCCATATTTGCTATCAGCACGGTGATTTGAGCGTGCCAAATTATTAGAAAGGTTTAGTAAAATTCCCAGAACTGAGCAAACAAAACGTTTATTAATGTTGCACGTGAATGTTTATGATCAGAAGAAGCTAATAAATAAGATAATCAAACAAATAATAACAGATACAAACAAAGGCACAGTTTTAAACAAATTAATTTAAATATATATATATATATATATATATATATATATATATATATATATATATATATATATATATATATATATATATATGGTACTAAAAATGTACATAGCTTGCTTCTTCTCTTTACTCCCTGATCGATGGTGGTGATCATTTTCTGATTAAAATGGCTTTATTAGAATAATAAGTGCGAATAATTAATTTAATCGTAAAAATAATATTATATAGTAATAACATACATGTAATAATAATAATAATAATAATAATAATAATAATGGTAATAATATAAACATTTGTTACGCGCATTTATTAAGAACAAGTTGGGCAAGGTATAAGACCCATGGTCTAGATATACCTGTTAAAACTGCATTGATCTGAGGTCCTATATAATATTTACATACACGGAAAGAGAAACGTTACATAAACTTAAATTATTCTCAGTGTTTTGAGTAGACGCACACGTACTATGTGGGCAAAACTATCCAGAGGCTTGAGGTTAGAATCGCCCAACATGTCCCGGGCTGCGTGCGCAGGCATGAGTTTGTGACATCCGGGTCTTCGCAGACTCATGCCTCTGCTATCGGTGAACATCTATTAAATTCTGGTGTTTGTAGGACTGAGTATTCTCCCCATTTCTTTTCGGTATCGCACAGGGCTAGGAACAGACTCCATCTCGACATTTTGGAGTCTGTTATTATCAACATGCGTAGGCCGGCCCTCTGCCTACAACGGGAGATGAAGTTTAAGTTGGCCTTATTTGGGGGAACGGTTACATTATTTGAGGTAAAATAATTTTTTTTCCCCTTACCATCTTGTTTTATTACGGTATAAATAAAAAAATTTTCTTGTAGGTACTCCGTTTTAGATTACCGACGATTGTGTTTGAAAATGTGTCGGTCGAAAGGTACCTTACATTTTATGTTTTAAACGTGGATATTGTTGTATCTTATGTTTAATATGATCCCATATTTTATTCCTCAAATTTCTGATTCGATTTGACAGTACTAGAATTCTGTTTTAATATATATATATATATATATATATATATATATATATATAAAAAAATGAATATGAAGCCCATGGGGATTTTTTAACAAAATGAATGATGGCATTTTTTAAATTCTGAAGGAAAACAGTTCAGTGGGAAATTTCTGTTTTTTGATAGGCACGTAGGGTAAAAGTTATGGGTGTACAAAGAGGTACCGGCGATCCGGGTCCAAATTGCGGTCTCGTCTGAATCATTCACTTTTGCAATTGGGGAATTATATAAAATGATAGCTTTGTGTGGCATCCAGTCTAGAAGATCAACTCTGAACTCAAAACTTGTGTATACAATGCAAAACCACGACACTCACTTTTCCAAGAGGTCCTTTTAATTCAAAGATGATAAGGAACAGAAACTTATGGAGAGCCATGATAGTCTATGTCTTTAAGGCATTAACTTGGCCAAAATGTTTGTTCGATTGTTAAATAAAAATATTACTTAAACAGAACAAACTTTTTGGCCAAAACAATACATGGTATTTTTTTTAATCATGACAAAGATTTGCAGAAATTCTTTAACATTCGTATTCGTTTCTTAAATGCATTATTTTAATATGAAAAGAGAAAACAGAATTCTGTTGTCTTTAATATTTTAAAACAATTGTTACAAGTTCGAGTCTGAGGTAAGCAAAGAACTGGTGCTGAAGGTTTTGGAGTTGTCTTAGAATTTCAGCGGAGTCTACTAAGTATTTTCTCTTTTTTTTTTCCAAAAAAAGAGGGTCAAATAATGTGTGAGAAATTTAACAGTAGAAATTCCATAATATATCACAGAAATCAGTGCCTCTAACACAAAACTGGTTACATTCCATCACCGTCGATCAGACCTCGAACTGCCGTTAACCACGGTGAACGGATGTCCCCTCGAGGAGGCCCCGTGCCTTGCGAGGATACGGGGTCTTAAACTCACACCCGACCTAATGTGAAATTCTTATATATGATCCATCGCTAAAGATGCAGGTAAAATGATCACTCCAGTAAGTACCTGACTTCTCATGCTATACGCTACCTTTATAAGTGACCTCACTTCCCAGTCTTGATAGTGTTCAAAAACGTCTCAGAGTCTTTGTGGGGGAAGAATTATTTTCCACACTTCTCTCTCACAAGCAAGATGTAGCGTGTCTCTCACAGCTCTAACGCTATTTCCATGGAAAGTGCTCGGACGAGCTACATTACTTGGTTCCGTCAAGTCAGATCTTCATGGCTAGAACAAATAAAAGATAAAACTAAATATTTTATAAGTTAGTATTTCTTTGTGTCTCATTATTAATACTTATTTGCCCTAAAAAAAAATTTATGCTTTGTTGATGAGTATGTTTGTAACGTTTGAAGTCGCTTTTTTTTTTCAATTTTTACAAAATTAACTGCTT